TTTAAACGACGGTTGCAGAAGAATCGCCCAACCTGGACCGACCGCTAGGAATGCCGCGGCCGCAAGCAGCCGCCACAGAGTGTCCCAGAAAACCGTTGGCTGATCGGAGGGGCGGGAAGAAACTGGATCACCGAAGCGAAGCCGGGGATATCGGGTAAACACACCGTGTGTGTCTGTGTGTGTTGTGTGTGTGTGTGTGTGGGTGGGGAGGCGACGTCGACAGGTGGCATGACCGTGGAGCAATGCCTCTCCACGGCAATGCCGCTAATTGACCGCAACACCTCCGTTGGGGGTCCAAGTCCAACACTGGGCGTCGCCTTCAAGCGCATCCGCCTGGAAGACGCGGTCGGCGCCGTTCCATCATCCTCCTCTCGGCTTCTGCCCCACCCGTGTCTGCGAGGAGTTGGGCCAACGGTGCGGGAAGCTTGTGGCAGGTCCCGCTCTCCTACCCATGTGCTCGCTCTCGCCCCCCGTGCGTACCCCCATATCGCTTCAGCTCCGCGAGCCCCCCGCGCGACGCCTTCGACCTCGACCGCGAGGTGTTCTCCAAGCTCGCGCAGAACCTTCATCCCTTGGGCGCGAATGAAGGGGAGGGCGGTTGATGGGGGGAAGGAAGGTACCCCTGTCGGGCCCAAAGGCCCCCTTTGGGGGCCCTCAAGGGCGCCTTTTCTGCAGCCCTCGCTGCCTCCCCCCCTTTGTCGCCCGCCAAATCCCATGCTCGTGTGCGACGCCGGCAACGTGACCCTCACCGTGTGGTGGCACGGGCTCTTGCGGTCCTTCGGCCGTGGCCCAGACATCTCGCGCCGCGTTCGTGGCGACCTCGCCAACGCTCTCACCATTCCCACCCGGGCCGGGGGCTCCGACGAGGGTAGCCGCGCGGCAGGTCGCGGTACATTGCGAAGTTCCTCACCGCGGCCACGTGCAACTGCCCGCTGCATCAGCGGGATCCCCCGCCCTGACCTGGCTCGGCGCCTTCTCCCCCCGCCGCTCCCCACTGGGACGCACGGCGTTCGCCTTCGATGCCTCGCCTGGCTCACCTGGTGCGCCGCCTGCTCGGGATGGCTGCCCTGCGCGAGCTCGACGACTTCGCGCTCCCGATCGGCGACCTCCGCAGCTGCGGGGACGACGTCGAGGCCCTCCTGGGCCCTGCCGCGCCCAGCCGTGCCAGGGGCCGCGACCTCCGCGACGGGGCCCTGGCCCTCTCTGGCGTCTTGCCAGACCATGTCCCCCATCCTCCTCCTACTCCTCCTCCTCCTCCTCCTTCTCCTCTCTCCTCCTCTCTCCTCCTCTCTCCTCCTCTCTCCTTTCTCCTCCTCCTCCTCCTCCCTCCGTCTGCCTCCCCTTCCCTCCCCTCCCCATCGTGCCCCCTGCCGCCAGACCATGTGTGAATCGTCACTCAAGACTGGCGTTCGCCTCATCATGCGCGCGCCAGGGGACGGGGCCGTCGCGGATCCGGAGGCGCGGGGCCAGCTCACCACCCAGAACTGGCCCGACTCCGACCCTAATGGGCGTGTCCACGCGGCCATCAGATGGAGTCCGAGTAGATGGGGTCGGAGGATCGCGCCAGATCGCCGATATATGAACGATACACCGGCGATGCATTCGCGACGTCGGCAACGCGTCGCCGACGTCGGCGTGGAGAAAATCGGGCTCCACATCGAGCCGCGTCGGCGATGCGTCGGTGATGCGGCGCGATCCTCCGACCCCATCTGCTCCGACACCATCTTGGAGTCCTAGAACCTCTCAGGCGCGATCCCGCCAGAGCCCCCGGACACTGCGCCGCGCGCCTCCCGCCAGGTCTGCCTCGCGCCGGAGGCCGCCGGCGTTGCCGCGCCCCCCTTCTGGGGGACCGCCCGCGGGCGGCGCCCGCCCCCCCCCCCCCCCCCCCCGAACCGCCCCGCGCTGGGGCCGGGCTGCCCGCGCCTGCCGAAGGCTCCGCCCCCAGCCCAGCGCCGGCCTGGGGGCAGCTGGGCCCGCGCCCGCCGAGGTGCTTGCCGACGCCCGCCGAGCGGGCCGCCATCGTCGAGCGCTTGGCCGACTCCAGCGGCAGCCGCGACGTCTGGGCCGCTCTCGCGCGCGCAGCGCGGGCTCCGCGCCCGCTCCCTGCCCGGGCAGGCCTTGAAAGAGGCCGGCGACTGCTCGCCTCTTCGTCGGTCCTCAAGGACCCCTGGGATAACCTGGGGCACCCAGCGCTCAGTCGGCGGGGTCCCCCCCGCGACTGGGAGACCGCGGCCAGCCCGTGGCTGCAGAAACAACGGCGCGTTTTCCTTGCGCCCAGCCCCGACCGCGGCTCAGACTTTCAAGCAGAAGGCGTCGGGGGCCCTTCTGGCGGTGAGCACCGCGCTGCGCGAGCCGCGGCGGCCCAGCCTAGCCCCGACGCATGCACCATCGCCCCCCTCGCCTCCTCCTGCCCGCGCCCCGGACAATTGCCGACCGCGCGCGCCGCCGCGCCGAAGGCGGCATCGACGTGCTCTGGCAGTTTCTTGCCCGCGCCTACGTACGGGTGCGAGCCTAAGGGCGTCAGCCTACCGGCGACCCACGTGCCTGCTTCGGGGCAGTCCCGAGGGTACGATGTGGCCAACGCCTACCTCCCTGCCGAGCTGCAAAGGCGCGTCCAGGACATGCGCCAGACACTCGGGACCCCTGACATCTGTCTTCCATGCTGCCCCTCCAAGCATGTCGTTCTTCCGCGCCGGCCTGCGGCTCCTCCAGCCCAGGTACCTCACAGGGCTCTGCGCCACATGAGGCGACAACCAGCTGCGCGTGGCGGCACTCCTGGACCGCGACGCGAAGCGAGAGATCGCCAATAGCACTAAGCGACGTGGCGCGAACTCTTGGGCCACCTCACGAGCGGCCGGTGTCCCGTGACTCTCCCCGTCCCGCCCACCCCGGCTCCACTCCGAAACGCCCACGCGGCGCGGGAAGTTCACTGGCACCTCCCCGGACGAGACCATCTCGTTCCAGAAGCCCCCCCGTACCCCAGTCTCGCTCCGTCCGACCACCTCGCGAGCGGCAGGTGCCCTGTGACTCTCCCCGTCCCGTGGGCGCCGCCCGGCGCGGGCAGTCCACCGGCACCTCCCCCGACGAGACCGTCTCGTTTCGGCAGCCAGCCCCCCAGGCCCGCCAGCCGCCTCCAGGGCGCCGCCAACGCGCGCGAGGCGGCAGGACCGCGGGGGGCCCCCGGGTCTCGCGAGCAGGCCAAGGCGACAGCCGCCGCGGCCCCTCCCTTTTCCCGCCGCCCAAGTCCCGATCCAGGCCCGCCGCGCCGACCCCGCCCAGGCCCGCCGCGGCAGGCCCGCCGCGGCAGGCCCGCCGCGATGGAGCGGCGCACTCCGCCCTCCCGCGGCCCCGCCGCCTCCCGCCACCGGCCAGCTGCGCGCCGATGGCCCAGATCCCGCCCATGGCCCTCCGGCCATCGGCGCCTGGCCGGCGGCGAGCAGCAACGCGGCTCCCGAATTCGCCACGCCCGCTCCCTGCCCCGCGCCGCCACCGCCGGCTCCGCCCTCCGCCACCGTGAGCAAAGCCACCGTGTCAGGCCATGGCGCCATGCCGCCGCCTCCCCGGAAGCGGCCCAGCGCGCCCTCCCCCGCTCACCCCCGAGCCCTCCCACGCCCAGCGCGGCCCAGCACGCCCTGGCGGCCCAGGTGTCTGCTTGGCTCGGCGAGGACTGGACAGGCGCCCCCCTTTCGCGTGAAGTGGCGCGCCTGGCCGGGCCAGAGCAGCGAGCGCTCCACCAGCCCGCCCCGGGCGATTTCTCTGCGGAGCTCCTCGGCCAGCTTGTCGATACCATCCCATTCCCGTTGCTTCATGCCGCACTCTCTCCTGCCCCCTCCCGTGCCAGCTGAGCTGGTCCGGCCGGGGGCTGCTTCTCCCCGCAAGCGGCCCGCCTCTCGCCTCTCCCGAAGGCGCGGACGGCGCCCGCGGCGCTGGGCCCAGCGCCTCGCCGCCCTCCTTGTTCCCCCGCGGGCCTCTGCCCTGCAATTCTGTTTTGGTGCTTTCGCACTCCTCCTTGCCGTGCGTGGCACTGCTCCTCGTCTGGCCTCTTGTCTTGACGTCATCCACCTTTCCATCTCACGCTGCCGATTGGGCTGGTCCCTCGGTTTGCGTGTCTCCTCCATGCCATCCACGCACGGATGTGCTGATGCCGTATCTCCGCCGCTCATGCCGCCGTTCGGGCACAGCCCACGGTTGGCGTGCCCCCTCCGTATCATCCACGCCAGGGTGGCTGATGTCTGTGGGTTCTGAATCCTAAACGACTCTTGAGGGCCTGGCCGCCGCGCGCTTTGTTTGTGCTGCTACTTACTCCGCTTCGTCGCTGCTCGCGAGGCCGCTACAATACCGCCAACAAACAAGTGTGTGTGTATGTATGTGCGTGCGTGCGTGCGTGCGTGCGTACGTGCTTATGTGTGTGTGTGTGTGTGTGTGTGTGTGTGTGTGTGTGTGCGTGCGCATCCAGACTCATAACAAGCTGTGCGCGACCTGTGGGCAATGACCGCGGCGGTGCCGCGCTGTTGGCGGGCAGGGAGGAGGAGGAGGGAGAAACTCAGGAGGAAGACGAAACAAACCTGCAACACAAACACAAACACAACGTCGTCACCGTGACGTGAAGTCGCTGTGCGAAGATCGCATTTCAAATCAAACATGTGCTACGTTAGGTGCGGCACTGCTGGCAGGAGCTGAGCCGGCGACGGCGACGGCGACAGAGCGGGCCAGCAGACAGCCAGCTCCTGTTTCTGCTGCTGCTGCTGCTGCTCCGCCTCCCTCGCTTACTCATCCCATCACCCTCCCTCCTCCTCCTCCTCCTCCTCCTCCTCCTCAGTCTCCTTCATCTTCCTCTTTGTCTTACCTGCCTCTTCGTCGCCATCCTGCTCCACCTGCTTCTCGTCCTCATCCTACTCCACGTGCTGATAACGACTTCCTCTGCTTCTCATCCTTCCTCGCAGTCTCCTCCTTTTCCTCTCTTAGCCTACCCTTTCGCCCTACCCGTCCCAAGGGGGCTCCTCCCGCTGGGTGGAGCCCAGACTGCACGTCGTAGAAGTGAGAGGCCAACACGGTGCTGAAGACGAGGCTCGCAGAGCTCACGGCCAAGGACATGCTGTTGTAGATGGTGGCTGGAGGCCCCACTCCCCTCCTCCTCCTCCGCCGCCTCCTCCTCCTCCTCCTCCTCCTCCTCCACCACCTCCTCCTTTTCCTCCTGTTCTGCCCCGTGCTCCTCCTTCTCCTCCTCGTCCCGTCATCCCTGCCCTCGCCCCATCTTGTACCCTTCGCCCTCGTCCGCTTTTGCCTTCCTCCTCCGCTTTCGTCGTGTCTTCCTCCTCGTCGTCATCGTCCCCCTCGTCCTCCTGCCGCGGAGGGCGGCCCGAGGGAGGCCCTGGCCCTACTGCTCCTGCGCAGGTAGACGCTCTGCCGCCGCACGGATCTCGGTGGCCCACACTACCTACCCCCCTCCTCCTCCCTTCTCCTCCCTCCTCCCTTCTCCCCCCTTCTCCCTCTCCTCCTCCTCCCTCCTCCCTCCTCCTCCTCTCCTCCTCCTCCTCCTTCCTCCTCCCTCCTCCTCCCTCCTCCTCCTCCTCCTCCTCCTCTCCTCCTCCTCCTCCCCCTCCTCTCTCCCCTCCTCCTCCTCCTCCTCCTCCTCCTCCTCCTCGTCCTCCTCCTCCTCTTCCTCCTCCTCCTCCTCCCTCCTTCCTGCCCACCTTCGACTGCTGGACAAGACCCTGCACCTCTTGTCTGGATGTTTGAACATCCCCCGCGCCCCAAATTCGCAAGGCTGCGTCTCGATGCGTCGACCTGTCGACTGGCCCAGATCCTGCGCCCCGCTGGCGACGCCAACCAACATCGACTCGGGAGCAAGGGGGCGCGTTGAACTGTGCGCCAGCACCGGTCGCGCGGGCGGTGCACGCTTGTTTTTCCATCAACCGCTCCTCGGGGAAGGACGGGGAGGAGAACCAGCGTTCTCCCGCCCCGCAATGCACGCAGGAGGAGGAAGAGGCGGACGAGGAGGAGGAGAAGGAGGCGGAGGAGGAGGAGGAGGCGGAGGAGGAGGCGGAGGAGGAGGAGGCGGAGGAGGAGGAGGAGGAGGAGGAGGGAGGAGGGGGAGGGATGAAGAGGAGGAGGAGGGAGGAGGGGGAGGGGGAGGGAGGAGGCGGAGGGGGAGGGAGGGAGGAGGCTGCTCAGGAGTCTCTGTGAGCGTTCGTTTCCGCAGCGGGAGGGCGCGCCAGTGGCAAGACGAGCGCCCCGTGAGCATGCCTGCCTGCTGGCGACGGCCCCCTTGCGTGCGGTCCAGGGGGACCTCCAGCGAACAGAGCGCCTTGAAGGGGAGCGGCCCTGCCTCATCCTGGCCCCTGCGCAGGGAAGCGCTTCTGGCCATCCAGCCTGCAAGATCGCGAACCGAAACCAACATCTGACAGGGAGCCGCCCTCACTTCGTGTAGTAAGTGCACACCTTTTGCACGGCTGGCAATTAACGACAGACGAACTCGCAAAGAACAACTCCATCCTGGAAAGAAACCGCTATCCACCGTGCACCCGTTGTGTCTCTTTAATCTGTTACGATGCATGTGCGACACGTCAAGGCGATAACTGCGGTTTAGAAACAAACTGCCTCGCATCTGTGTAGAAACGCTTGTCGGAAGAACGTATGCGGCACCATAGCCACACCAATAGGTTGGAACAAGTTCGACCTCCATCCGTGCAACTGTTTGTTAAGATTTTGTAAGGCGAATGTGCGCGGCGCTAGTGTGGGAACCACATTTGAAACAAAAAAGCCATGCGCTCTCCATCGGTGTAGCTGTTGGAAGCCCAAAGCGTCATAATTATGAACTGTGGGGAAGCCTCAAGAGAAACACTCAGCCCGACCTTATCACTGACACGTCTGGTGGTGTGACGAGGGTGATATATCGATAAGGGAACACTGTTAACGGGGATGGAATGCAGGAAGGAGGGCGAGGGCCTTTCGAGGACTCATAATGTTCCAAGCGGTCCTCCTGGCCCCATTGCCAATCCTCCTGTTGCTCCCCCTGTTCCTTTTGCTCCAGCTCACCATTGTCTTTCTGAGACAAAATGCAGAATACGCGCAAACCAGGTACGCACAACCCAGTGACCCCTGATATCCAGCGAATGGGGAAGACTGGCGCGCCACGGTCGCCCCAACTGGTGGGGATGTCGAATTTTCTGATGATGCGTTGACGGGCGCGCCCTTGATCCGGACTCTGGGTGTAAGCTACATAGTGCGCGCTATGCGGTGCAATCTCATGCGCGCTGCAATCCATGTGGCGAAATGAATTCGTGCGCAAGCTTTGTGTCGTGAGCAGCGTTGCATAGTGGATGCTGTGCAATCTCAACGTGGTGCACGCTAGGTGGAGTAACCGGTGTGCTGCCGGATATGCGGTCAACGATGGGTGGAACGAGCCGTGAGATGGAACCTGCGAGGTGCAGGAAATCGTGGTGTAACCGATGCGGTGTCAGCATGATGCGCCCACGAGGCGTCCACGGCCGCCCACCGAACGAAACCTCGGCATGCCCAGCTCTTCGATCTGCCGCATGAGGTGGCGCACCTTGCGCTCTCTGACCCTGCGCCCCCCTCGCGCGCGAGGGTGGCCCTTCGCGCGCTTGATCGCCAGCGCGCGGGGCACCCGGGGGCGCCCACGGCCGCCCACCAGGCGACGCCTCGGCAGGCTCGGCCAGCGCACGGGGCGCCCGCGAGGCGCCCGCTGGGCGCCCAGGGGGCGAAGCCTCGGCGGCCCCGCCCAGCAGGCGGGGCGCCCGCGAGGCGCCCTTGACCGCCCGCCAGGCGAGGCGTGGGCAGACCCCCAGCAGTGGCGCGGGTCGCCCACCAGGCGACGCCTCGGCAGGCCCAGTCGGCGCACGGGGCGCCCGCGAGGCGCCCACGGCCGCTTGCCAGGCAGAGCCTCGGCACACCCATCGCTCTCAAGGATGAGAAGTACGGCGTCACGCACCGACCACCCCACCGACGCGCCTGCTGGCTGTGCGGCGTGGGGAGACACCCATCAGGAACACGCGCTGACATGTAAAGAGGACGGGACAGGAGAACGGACGTGGGGGAAGCGAGGGTGGAGACGTAGAGCGGATGATGGGGATGACGACGATGAGGAAGACATGCGGAAACCCGAGGTGGATGACGATGAGGAGGATGGCGATAGGGAGAATGATGGACCAATGCATCACGCAATCTGAGTTCGCGACCAGAACACTTGCCAACTGGCGGCCTCAACTGCCGCCTCCGTCTCCTCGGCCTGGCGACGGATGTCCTCGCCGATCTCCTCTCCCTGCTGGAACGGCTCTAGGCCGCTTGCCGCGCAGCAAGCAACTTCGCCAAACGGCCCTGGGCCCACTGCCGTCACTGCGGCCGCGCCACTCGCCGCTGCCGCGTCTACTTCAGCGCTGCGACGGAACCTCGCCTGCCACCGCTCCCGCACCTCCTCGGCCGGGCCCTGGACGCCAGTGGGCAGCCGCGCCACCTCTGGGGGCCCGGCCGCGCTGCAGCCCGCCTCCGCAGTTGTCATGCGAAGTCGCCCGGAAGCGACCCCGCTGCTTGGGTCCAGCGCGGCCTGCCCTCTCCTAGCTGACGCCGCATGCGGCGGAGGCATGATCGCCGAGCCCCGCGCATGAAGAAACGCAAGCCCACTGCGCTCCGCCGAGGAAACGAGGACGCCACGAGCTGAGCACGGAAACCGTGGCAGCCCCTGAGCTGCGTTGGGTGTCACCGCTTAGGGGGAGCCCCTGTGCGCGGGTGACGGCGAGGAAGGGCACGATGATGATGTGTTTCCCTGCGTGTTGTTGTTGGAACGTGTCTGAGCGCTGCGCGCAGCAGCTCTTCCCCACCGGGAGAACAAGAGAGGACAGGCGACCTGTACGGAAAAACATTCGCTTGCATAACACCCGCCCCGAACCAGTTTCGCGCAACGGTGGTAACGACCCTCGTCTGGGGGCCAGCCGAGAGATAACGAAGATACAGTTATGCGGCAAATCACATAACGCCGATGCTCACACGCATTGACTGCGTACGTGGAGCTCCCTATGGGGCACGATGCGCGTGTGATGTCTACCGAAATGCAAGCGGAACGCGATGCGAACGAGTCCATCGGGGCCATGAATGGAGCTCGATATGCGAACGCAACCGCTGGGGCCAACATACGTGGAACTTCCTATGGGGCACGATTTGGGTGAGGGGCGTGCCGACATGTGTCCGGCGGCTCCATGTGAGCACCTCTACTGGGGCCGTGAGTGGAACTCCCTGTGAGGCACGAAACATGTGAGTGTGTGTTGTGTGCCGAAATCTGCACGGCGGCGCCATGCGATGACCTCCACTGGAGTCGCAGGTGGAGCTTCGTCCGCCTGAGGGGTGGGGTGTGCTTTCCCCCTGTGGCAGCAAGTGGCATGGGCGCGGTGTATCGCATGTGATGAGGAGGGAGGATGGGTAAAGAAGGAGGCAGGTGTGACGCGCGGCACTGTGGATTCAAAACGGAGGCCCAACAAACAGGATAATTGGGATCACTGTTTGGATGGTCAGGAAGTGGCAGAAGGAGGAGAAACTGGGAGGGAGGAGCGGGAGGATGCCTCGAGGTGAACAAGGAGGACCCTAAGCTGCATACGTAGGGTGTCGGCGCCAACAACCCATAACCTCCGTCGCGCATGAAGTTAACATTAACCTAAGATGGGACATCCGGGGCTCCAGCACGAGCCGACACCGCGCGGCACAGCTGAAACCTCCCAGGGCAGGACACAGCGGAGTGAAAAGGGGATTAGCTGGCATTGGGGGGGAAACGGCCGAGGGAAACGGGTGCTGGACCCTGGGGTCTTCCCCCGGGACCAGCTCCTCATCCACAGCTGTTCTCTGACAGTCCCGGGGCCCGTGGAGGGCCCCAGGACGCCCAAAACGGCGAAAAACCTCAGGAACCGTTTCCCTCAGGATCCTCCTCCCCTCCCCTGCTCCTCCTCTTCCTCCTCCTCCTCCTCCTCCTCCTCCTCCTCCTCCTCAGGACCCATCCCCCCCTTCTCCTCCTTCTCCTCCTCCTCCTCCTTCTCCTCCTTCTCCTCCTCCTCCTCAGGACCCATCCCCCCCTGCTCCTCCTCCTCCTCCTCCTCCTACTCCTCCTCCGCCTCCGCCTCCGCCTCCTCAACCTCCGCCTCCTCTTCCTCCTCTTCCTCCTCTTCCTCCTCCTTCTCCTCTTCCTCCTCTTCCTCCTCCTCCTCTTCCTCCTCCTCCTCCTCCTCTTCCCATGTTCCCCCCATGTCGAATCGGGCGGAGGTCGGCCGTTTCCTCGAGGGGGGGAGGACGACGAGGCGAGGCGAGCCAAGATTGCAGCGCAGGGGTGCCGGAGCCCTCAGGAGACGGCCTGGGAGGCCTATGCCCATCCTGCGCTCAGTATGGTCCTCGCCAGGATCAAACTACATACACAACTTCATTCTTCTGCTGTGCTTCAGCTCCGACTCCCATGCTTCCACCTCCGGCTGGCGACCTTCCAGCTCCAGCCCTGTCCGCGCACATCTGGCCTCTCGCCTCCCTCGTGCGGGTGGCACTGGGGGTCCCTTTTCTGCACCTCCCAATGCAGAGAAGAGCTCCCACTGAGGTCACCCCAAGATGGGTCTGGACAGGATAGGTGTACGTGCATAGTTCTCTTCGCCCGAAACCAGGGGTGCTGAAATCGTGGAGATTGGAGCTGGAATCTGAAGCATGAGAATTGGGATCGGCGGCCAGAGCCGGACTCGGAAACATTCCAGACCGCAAGTGGAAGAGGCATCGGCGTCGGTGCGTGTCTGAGTGGATACCTCGGACGTTGCGTCGGAGCCGTCTGCAATCGGCGCGAAAATCGAATACGAAGCCGCTGCCGTCAGGAGTTGGCGCCAGAGTCGGGGCAGGAACACGAATCGGAAATTGAAAACAAGAGTCAGAGAGAGATGGGAACCGGAGTCGGAGCCAGGGTCATGAGGCTGGGAACCAGAGTCGGCCGTGGGGATGGCCGGCGGAGGCGGAGATATGGAAGCAAGAATCGGAGCCGGACAGATGAGCACAACAATCGGAGAGACGAGGGGCTGGAGTCGGAGGAACATGGGTGTCGGAAGCTGGAGCTGCAGTCGGAGGGACGGGAGCCGGAGTGCTTGGGGCCGAGGCCCGGGCCGATCCAGCGCCTCCCGAACAGCTCCGCCAGCATGGCCGGGGACAGCGTCCAGAAGCCGCCGTAGGAGAACCCCGCCAGCGCCGCGCCTGCCCGCGCGCGCGCACCGAGCAGGACTGAGCTGCATCGACTTGCGAAATCGGGTCGGATCGGAGGCGGGTCGCAAACGAATCGAATCGAAACCGGATCGCCGCGCCTGGCTCCAGCTGGGCCTGGCCGATGCCGGTAAACCGAACCGGATCGGAATCGCGGACCCGGCCCAGGAATCGAATCGCATCGAGTCGGATCGCAGTCGCTCCTGCTGCCATCGGCCTTCGCGCGGCGCTCGCGCGGCCGCAGTGCGGTGGCCGCGTCGACGAGCGGGCCGTCCACCGCTCCTCGCGCGCAGCAGCCCGCTCGCGTGCAGGCGGGGGTCCCCCGAGAGGTCCTGCAGGAGCCCGAGGAAGGGTCCCCTGGGGCCTCGGGCAGCTCTCGGGAGGCCTTCCGAGACTGAGAAGGGGAGCCCTGGACACCCAACGACGCCAAGGTGCCCGATGCGCCTCCAGCGTGCGCGAGTGGAAGGGCCGCCCGCGCGAGGGCGTTGGCCAGCGGAGTCCGCCACGCATCCGTATCGCGGTCTGGTCCACATGCGCGTCTTCTCTCTCCTCCTCCCCCTCCTCCTCCTCCTCCTCCTCCTCCTCCTCCTCCTCCTCCCCCTCCTCCTCCTCCTCCTCCTCCTCCTCATCAGCATCATCATCATTCTCCACCTCCTCCTCCTCCTCCTCCTTCTCCTCCTCCTCCTCCTCCTCCTATTCCTCCTCCTCCTCCCCTCCTCCTCCTCCTCCTCCTCCTCTTCCTCTTCCTCCTCATTCTCCACCTCCTCCTCCTCCTCCTCTCCTCCTCTTACTCCTCGTAGTCGCCCTCCTCCTCCTCCTCCTCCTTGTCCTCCTCCTCCTCCACCTCCTCCTCATCCTCCTCCTCCTCATTCTCCTCCTTCTCCACCCTCTCCTCCTCCTCCCCCGCCGCCTCGGCACGGCGGCGCCATTGCTCGTCGTACTGGGCTGCCGATCTGGGGAAACCAACAGGAACCGATACCGCTACTCCTCAGACCTCTCCCGTGGTGCGTTCTGACCAGGACTTCGAGGCGAAACCAGCGGTGGCAACGAGGGCACTCCGAGGAGGCCCAACAGGTCGAAAACGGGCGAAGGGTAGAGGTATGGGTACCTTTTCCTCCTCTGCGACTCGTCGTGCTGGGCTGCCGATCGCCGTGCTGCTTGGCCTGCGGCGCCCGCCAGGCGGTGGCCAGGCCCTTGGCGCGGCGCGCGACTCTCGCGCAGCATGCCGCCGGGCGGCGGCCGTGGTCCCGGGAGCCTACACCAAGATGGCGTCGGGCTGCTCGTGGCCTCGGAGAGGGTCGTGGCGTGCAGACCAAAGTCGGTGGCAAGCGAGGGGAAGAAGCGAGAAAGGGCGGGCCTGCTCAGAAGTCTCGGAATTCCCCCCAGCCTTCTAAGAAGTTCTCGGCGCCTTCGAAAACACAGAACACTTCTAAGACGGCGCGAGGGCTTCTGAGAAGTCCCGCCGCCTTCTGAGAAGGCCTTCTACTTCTCATTTCCCCCCCTCGCTCGCTGCCGACAGAAACCAGGACCTCGGCGAGAACGGAGACGCGCACCGCGAAAAGACCGCGCCGTGTGCTGGCTAGCCTGGTGGCGCCCTGCGCTCCGGGACGCTCGACGTCTCCCGCGGGGTCGTCATGGCTCACGTCCACGTGTGGGCGGGCGTGGGTCTAATGTTGGGGGCGCCCGTGGACTTCGTCGTCGGGCTGCTTGTGGGCTCCGTGATCGAGCCCTTCACCGGCCGCGGTATGTGTGGCCTCGGCAACGTCGAAGGCCTGGGGTTCCCCGCGCGGAACGGCGGCACGGTTATGTTCGCAGTCTGAGAGGTTGTCGTCGTCAGCCTCGTGGTCGGAGGGTCCTGGGCTCCTCAGGTGGAGCCCAAACACCCCGCGGGAAGGGCGCCGACCCGCACCTCTTCAGGGTCGCTCATCCCTCGTGCGCTTCGCTGAGCCACCGGTTATCTTCGTTTGACGCAGGGCTGGCAGGCCCAGGAACATGAGCGCCATCGTGTAGCCAAACATGAGGTTTGGCATGACATTCATCTAGAGGCCCCCGCCCACAATCTCACCAAAACACAGGGCGGCGGAGATGTGGCGCCAGCCAGCTGGAATATAACATCAGATTTTCCTGACACGTGAGCTCGATGCCGCCGAGGCGGCGGCTGGATTCGACAGCGGCGGCCACCCCAAGGTCGCGGGTGCGCCGCCGAAATCTTTGTCCCCACAGAACTGTCATGAGGCACGTGGGCGGAGAGAAGAAAAAAAGGGAAGGGGGGGATGGAGAACTTGAGCGGAGAACGCAAATCGCACGCTGTGGTATTTCGGACGGCCCCACATGCTCTCTGACGCCGCCCTGGCACGCCCCCCCAGCCAACCGATTCGAGGGCGGAGGAAAGGGGAAGGTGAGAAGGGCGAGGGCCCAAAAAAGTCATTGTATGCTACTAGAGGCCCCCGCCCACAATCTCACCAAAACACAGGGCGGCGGAGATGTGGCACCAGCCAGCTGGAATATAGCATCAGATTCTCCTGACACGTGAGCTCGATGCCGCCGAGACGGCGGCTGGATTCGACAGGGGCGGCCACCCCAAGGTCGCGGGTGCGCCGCCGAAATCTGTGTCCCACTCCACCGCATGTCTGGCAACGGCGCCTGGATGGTGGGGCGTGCGGGGCCAGGGTGTGTGGGGGGGGGAAACGAACGCCGCGCCAGCCGCCTCCAAACAATCTTCACGCCAAGGACTCATCACGAACATTAGCCAATTCATTCCCAGCAGCGCGTCGGGTGGCTCTTCCGGTATTTTTCGCCCGGAAGCACCACTTGTGCCCCCGACGCGCTGTCACTCGCCGACATCCTTCACAACAACGCGTCGGGTGGCTCTTCACTTGCACCCGGAAACCTCACTTGTGCCCCCGACGTGCTGTCACTCCCTGGCCTTGGAAGGCCGTGCCAGATTGTTCTTCAGCGCTCCGCGCCTCGCTCCAGCACCTCGGGCGGCAGAGAGGCGCGGGGCGACGCCACGGCGCGGGTCTTCATGTAGCGCAGCACACTCTTCTCGGAGGCCCAGCGGCCCCGCCGCTGGATGGCCCACGCACTCCGGTAGCTCGTCGCCGCGTCGTAACTTGGGCCTGAGTGCCGAGCCGCATGCGGAGGGAAGCTGGCCGCGCCGACGTCGTCACAGGCGCACCGCAGGGCGCGGCGGTAGGCGTCCACCGAGCAGTTGAACGCCCGGTCGGACGGCGCCCTCTCCACCTTCCTCCAGACGAGCATCTCGGCCATGTGCTCGCGGTCGGTGAGCGCGCCCTGCCTCTTGCCCGTCCTCGTCCTCTCTCTGCGCTCAGCGGCTCCGAAGTTGATCGCCGCCACCTGCTTGCCCCCCCCCCCGCCCACGTCCTCGGAAGGCACGAGGGGACCTAGGCAGGTCCGTCGACAGCTCTGGCCACGCGTAGGCTAGCCCGTGCACCCCGAAGTCTCTACGGCGCGGGCCCAACTCCTCGTCCTCGACCAGACGGTCCAAGTAGCACAGGACCGAGTCGTTGATCACCTGTCGGCTCCTCATCCCAACGCCGTCTTTGTGGAGACCGAAAAGGGCAGCAGAGTCAGCCAGTGCGTGTCCCCCCTCGGAGTTGACCTGCCAAAAGAGTAAGAGCGCTCCGCGTCGTCCCTGCGACGCGCGTGGCCCATCTTGCGGTTCGACGCGTGCTGCCGAAGTCGCTCCTCCGCCACGGCAGTCGGTGTAGTCGGAAGAAGCGCGCGCACCAGGGCCAACATTCAGGTCGAAGACGGAGCCCGCGCCCACGTAGCACTTGAACTGGAACAGCTCCTCCATGTGCCAACGCCCTCTTCGAGGGCTCCTGCGGCCGGAGGGGTGGCTCGCTCGCTCAACCCGGCGCCTCGACGAACGCCGATGGCAGGACCTCCAGCGTCGACTCGTCCCAGCGCCTGCGCTCCAAGGTCTCCGCGAACAGCTGCTCCACGACACTCTCGGTGAGATCGACCTCCCGTCGCTCCTGCATGGCTAGCATGGCGTCCACGGTGACCTCGTCCATCAGGTCCAACTCCGCCCCGAAGCCGACGTCCACGTTGGGGCAGATCAGCAGGTGGCCCGTTGCCGCTGCGATCCTGATCAGCCAGTCCTCCAAGTCCCCGGCACATGTGCGGCCGCTGCAGAGATGCATGAAGCGCAAAACCCTCACGGGCACTGATACTCCCTTTCTAAGCGGCTGGAACAGGTCGATCTCCGCCACTTCCGCGAGGGCCTCGATCTTCCAGGCTACCTTCTTCGGCAACACCTGCTCGTCCGTCCGCCGCTTCTCGGGGGCCTGTCCGATCGTGAATCCTCGGCTCGGACCGTCGCTGCGTTTCCGATCCGAAGGTGCGCCCAACGCCAGTGCTCGCGCATGCCGCGCCCGAGGTGGAGGACGGCCATTCTCCTGCAGAGAATCAAGATCGGCCGGCTGGCGGACCTGCCCTGGCCGAAGCCGCCGAGGCAGACCATAGAGTCGGTGATCCGCAGGTGCCTCCTCCCCCAGCTTGCGCGACTGCGGGCGGAGTGCCTCGCTGCGGCCACGCCCGCCCGCATCTCGCGCGGATTGATGCGCTCCTGCTCCTCCCAGCGCCCGCGCGCGACCTCCTTCCATCTGGTGATGCCGTCCCAGCACGCATGCGCGGCAGGAACCCGCGCGCAAGTGCCCCGCTCCACCTCGTCGCCCACGCGCTTGAAGGCCTCGCCCTCGCACCGCGAGTCTGACGGCCACGAAGATGAAATGCCAGTCCACACTGTCCAGCCACCTCGTTCGGCATGGCGGGCCCCCCGACGCTGCTGCTCCACCGTGGCCCCCGTGGAGATGATAGCGCCACCGTGCAGACTGGCATCGAGCATCATCGCAGCGGGGTGTCAGGGAGTCGCCGAGTCGACCGAAACCAAAAGCATGATGGCGGCCGCCGCCGCCAGCCCCCTCAACCTGTCGGGCGGCACTTCGCGCCGAGCTTCACCGCGGAAC